CGAGATCCTGACGATCGATTCGAACCGATTCAATAGTATTGCTTAACCTTTTAGGTACGGCTGAATTCTGCGCGAGGCTATTTCTCTGGACGGCAGAGTCTCATGTGTACTGTACAGAGTTTGATACTTTATATACAGGGTGTCCCAAAAATGTCTCGTAATCCGAAAGTGGCGGGTTCCTCGGGCCATTTGAAGCAACTTTTTCCTTTACAAAAATGTTTTCCGACGCACCGTTGACGAGTTATTAACGAAAAACAGTGACCAATGAGAGGCGAGCTCGGCTGGCGCGAGGCGACCGAGCCAATGAGCGGATCTGGGCTTCGTGCGCTGGTTCGCTGGGCCGCCTCGCGCTAGCCGTAATCGATTCTTATTGGTCACTGTTTTTCGTTAATAACTCGTTAACGGTGCCTCGGAGAACATTTTTGTAAAGGAAGAAGTTGCTTCAAATGACCCGAGGAACCCGCCATTTCTGGATTGTGAAACATTTTTCGGACACTCTGTAGACTGTTGTAAATCGATGCGAAGACAAAAGAAGTGCGAAACAATGCATATGAAGACAATTATTTGGTTCAAACGATTATGAAGAAAAGCGACTTTTTTCCAACCTTTTTTATCCTAGTCTACAACACGCTATTTAAACAACGCTTTTTATGGATCGAGCTAACTTCTGTGCGTACTGAAAATTGCATCGAAATCGGTTAACATAGCGGCAAGCTACAGGCATTGTAGTCGAGCTATTTACAAAACGCATTGTTTACAATTTCGTTGCGAGCAGGTTAAAAGCTGGAAAAAATACTTCGTCGTTCCAACCAGCATCGATTTTTGCAAAAATCTTTTCATTCTTTTAGACCGTTCGCTCTGATTCTTGCATTTTAAAAGTGGTCAGAATATCGTCGTTACCCATTCTAATAATTATAAAAGATATTTACACTTTTTATAAAAGACCTTTTTATGTATACATAAGATATATTTATATTTACAAGCATTTTCGAATTTTTGAAATTAATTTCTTTTCTACTGTCTTCTACTGTTATACTTAATAAATATTTCATTCATGAAATATTGCATAAAAGTCATAAATACATATTTCAGTGATGAAACATCGCATAAAAATATTTCTATCTGCGATAAATAAATTGTATCTTAACAATTTACGCGTGCGATAGGCGAATAAATGAAATACACGTCGCACGATGAAATATCAACGTTAGCTTACTCACAAATTAGTTTCCGTCGAATCTGACGGTAGATTTAATTAAGTAAATTTCATTCGACGACATTATCCTTTAATTAAATCTAGGACGGATTTTATTGCAAGATTTCAATTAGTTGCGAAATCAGGGGCTGCCAGTAAATAAATAATTATCGACTTTAACCCTTCAGTTTTTGCAAGTGAAATATTCTTTTAAACCTCGAGCAGGTTTAATAAATCGTTCGATAACAGTAGCTGTTGCATTCATAAATAAACACGTTACCATAAGGTAATAACTTTTCGTTGTTAACAGAACATTTTTCTTCGTTCTAATTTTTATAAAGTAATTTATGAAAATAGGAATTCGCACGAAGATCCTCCGTTTAACTGTTATTTATAAGAAAATTGTCAGGCTTTTTTTTCGTCTAAAATTACGCGCTTCTTCGTAATTAATAAATTTGCAAATACACTTATTAAATACTATATAAGATAGATAAACTAATAAATACTATAATTAACTATACTAACTAATAAATTTTATAAATAAATAAAACATTATCTGTAATCGTATGGGTTAAGTAGTATCAAAATTGAACAATCGAACATATTTCATTGTTTTCCTGTATTAGGAATGGTTGAAAAATATTTGTATAATTTTTCCCAATTAAGGTTTCGGTAAACGGTAAAGCAGGATTACTCGCGGAACACCTGTGCCACGGCGTAATACTAATTATTCCGATCGCGACAATCCCGCCATGATGCGTAATTAACAAAACGAAATGTCGATTAATAAAAGGCGCATGTTGGCACGGATAGAGCGCATCTGCCCGAACGTATTATCCGATCTGTGTGGGAAATCGAATTGCGCATTTGACACGTATTGTTCACGCGACCACACCGGGCGTTAATTAACAAACGGCCGTCTGCTAATCGGGTCCACTGATTTCCGGGGACGTGAGCAATACTCTGATAGCACGATTATAACGTTCTTTCGGTTGTTTTACGTTCGGTTAAAGTCAACATCTATGTATATAAATTCCTGATACTCTCGACGGTAAATTTCGCTAATAAACTCGCGCAGATCGATCCATTTCGACGATAACATTCCGATAATAATTTGCATTCTAACACGCTGCCCGAAAAATTCGCCGTTGCGCTTTATTCTATCTATGCACTATTAGCTTACGCTGCCCGAAAAATTCGCCGTTGCGCTTCATTCTATCTATGCACTATTAGTTTATACTGCTCGAAAAATTCGCAGTTGCGGTTTATTCCATCTATGCATCATTAGTTCACGCTGCAATGTTTGACGAGGAAGTCGAGCCGTTCACAGAGATCGTTCAGTTTACAATAAAAATATTTTCCATATACTCGCGTTATCGAATTTCGATTGCCGCGGCACGTGTCTGTTATATTATTTTTTGTGATTGTTTCATTAAACATTCCCAAAGCAAACGCAACAGGATTCTATCGTGTTTATTCCTCTCGTTGCGTTCCTCTACTCGCACAATAAAACGTACAGTTCGGTCGATCCGCCTCTGCGAATCCAAAGTTCTCATTTGAAAATCATTTGCAACGTTTTAACATGTTTCTCAGTTTCGGGGTTGAAGTAACAATATTCTTGTTTCTCGGCTGAAATATTCGACGTTCAACAGTTACAAGAAGAACTAAAGAACTAAAGAACTTTTTTTCTCCCTTCGTGAAAATTTGAGTTCGATCGTTTACAGTATTTCCCACATTTTTAACACGTTCCGTGCCACGTGTACCATCGATGGTACACGCTTGCATGTTTACTTAGTGAACTGAACAAATTGTTTACAAGAAATTTAGAACCGAAGAATCAATTTCCACCGCAAGAATGGGCGTTGATAAGTTTTTGTTACGTTGTTATGTGTACGAGAATTAATAATTGCACGTAATACATCAATTTTTGGTAAAATATCAAAGTGTGAAGATTCGAGTAAAAAAAGCTCGGCACGGAACGTGTTAATTAGAAATCGAAAAGTCGTCTCGTTTCACCGTTTGGAATTTACACGATTAAGAGGTCAGGTACGAACGTTCAAATTAAAGAATCGTGTATCTTTCGTCTGGAAAAATAGTGATCTGTCATTTACCGTATTTGTTGCATCTTCGATTACGAATAAAACAATCGTCTTATCTCGCTGTTGTACGAAACGTACAAGATCAAGATCAGCGGTTACAACGTTTTCCGCAATGAGCTTTCGATCTAATCGAAACAAAGAACTAAAGAACTTTTTATTCTCCCTTCGTGAAAATTTGACCGTTTACAGTATTTCCCACATTTTTAATTAGAAATCGAAAAGTCGTCTCGTTTCACCGTTTGGAATTTACACGATTAAGAGGTCAGGTACGAACGTTCAAATTAAAGAATCGTGTATCTTTCGTCTGGAAAAATTGCGATCTGGCATTTACCGTATTTGTTGCATCTTCGACTACAAATAAAACTAATCGTCTTATCTCGCTGTTGTTCGGAACGTACAAGATCAAGATCAGCGGTTACAAAGTTTTCCGCAATGATCTTTCGATCTAGTCGAAACAAAGAACTAAAGAACTTTTTATTCTCCCTTCGTGAAAATTTGAGTTCGATCGTTTACACTATTTCCTACATTTTTAATTAGAAATCGAAAAGTCGTCTGGTTTCACCGTTTGGAATTTACACGATTAAGAGGTCAGGTACGAACGTTCAAATTAAAGAATCGTATATCTTTTGTTGGGATTATGGAATGAAAATGAATATGATTCTAATACTTTGCTTAAAAGGACTTTATTTTATTCTCTTAATTGAGAGAAGGTATATGAGCGAAACCGATCGAGCGATCAAACTCTACTACTTGTCCGGTAAGAAGAAACGCTTCTTTTATACCCTTTTTGGGTTCGTCGTGTCCACCAATCAGAGACGTTTTATTTGTCGCGTCTTACATTGTATTCGTGACGGTCAGGGCACGATGTACATCAAAAGGTACCGGCGATGATGTATCGCGGCATCTAATATACAATATAGATTACGTCACCGTCGCTGCCCGCTGACGGAGCCGGCGAAATGTGAACCGATATCTTAACTGAAAATATCTTACTAAGTAAACTATAGATTAATTTTTGTTCGAGGCTAAAATTTCAACATCTTTCGTCTGGAAAAATTGTGATCTGTCATTTACCGTATTTGTTGCATCTTCGACTACAAATAAAACTAATCGTCTTATCTCGCTGTTGTTCGGAACGTACGAGATCAAGATCAGGCGATCGTTTCTCCATCCTGAAAAATTGCAGTATTTTTGCAAAATTTTGCAGTATTTTCGAGATCTCCGATTATAAATTAAAACGTCGACTTACCTGGTCGTTCGAGGCCTACAGGGTTAAGAGGCCAGTCAGCCGGGGCTCGTCGCGGTTCATCCCGGCAGGCATAGGGGTCGTTAATCAGCATTCGGAATTCGAGCACCGTGGCGAAGCATCGGCGACGGTGGCCACAATTTGCGGAGGCGTTTGAGTATGAATGAGTAACAAGTCCCCACCAAGATCCGTCTCCCCCTACCCCGGCTCTTTCTCTTCTCTTTCGGTTCGCCACCCTCTCGCTGGTTTCCGTCCCGCGTTCGTCCCATCGGTCCTCCGCGTCCGTGCTCCTCTCTGTCCCTGTTTCTCCCACGTCTCGATGCCCCTCTCCTCTCTAGCATCACTCTCTCTCTTTCTCTCTCTCGCTCTCTTTCCCGCTCTCCGAGCTCCCTCTTTCCCTCTCGTCGACACGAAAGAGGCTCGGTATCGGGGGTTCGGTTCTCTCTCCGTGTTCCGCGCTTCTTTCGGTCAGTTTTCTCTCGTGAGCTGCACGCGCGCGTCCTTCCGCTAGGACCTCGGGAGTCTGTGTCCGTCTTCTTGTCCCCCTCGATCCTGGATCAACCTCTACGCCCGTGAATCACAGGATAAATCAGGAGATCCATTCGTTCGACACGAGGATCCCCGCGCCGGGAGCCGACGTCCGTCAAGATGCGCCGTCGATGCACATGGTTAGTCCCAATCCCTTCTTTCTTTTTTTTCGATCTTATCCGTGGCTGCTTGTGTGTTACTCGACACGGAGGACACGGTTGTCCGAGCAGGCTTCGGGACGATTAGAGCGAACGGTTTTGGAAAGGCTGGTTAAAGAAAGGGCCGGATTTGTTGCGATTCGCGGGGACGCGCTTGGTTCGCGTCGACTTTGTCAACCGGTAATCTTTCGCAGTAAAGTTGTTCTTGTCGCGTGGCACGATTTATTTCCGCGATTTTCGTAGACACTTCGAGATTGCTTCGATAGAGCGCATCTCGTGTACGATCATTCCCGAAATCGCGGTGCTGTGAATGCAAGCGGCGGGAGTTTCTGTTACTTAGAAGCGCTTATGTTCTGGTCCTCGTCGATCGGGGGGTCGTTTAGAGAAATTCTTTTGTAATCGATTTTAATCGCACAGCAGCAAATTGCTTCCGATGTAACAGGACGTTGTGTAATCCTTCGAGCTGTTACCTCGAAGCGAATTATTTGTTACAGATTTTTCGAGATACAGTACGATCGTTACGGTTTCGACATTTAGGCTTTGAATCGCGTGAAATGTTTACACAAAGTTCTGCCAAATTGTTCATTTCTGGTTGACTATGTTCGGACGGAATAATATAACTTAGATCATTATTAAGTGGATCTTCGTCGAACCCTCGACCTAGACGGATCGGTGTTTATGTCAGGGTTATGTCTCATAGGTTGAATTTATACGTGTAATTTACTCTCGTTCGTTGCGAACAAGCAATAGCGTAATTTCTTTATTCTACCGCATTCTCTGAACGAGCGTTTCTGACAGCAGGAACGCCCACTCGCAAAGTTCTGTCTCAACCATGGATTTCGCGAAAACAGCTCCGATACCAACAAAGTTTCATATGCAGCAATGGCCGAACAAGATCAATTTCTAAAAAAAAGGAACAAGCGACCGTTACCCGATGCTATCAAAGAATACATTATCTCCATTGGTCGAATTATAATATTCGAATTAAAATATTCGTTTCGCCTCGAGAATTTCGAGCTATATATATAATATAATATAATAATAATAATAATAATAATATATATATATATATTATTATTATATATATTATATATTATATTATATTATTATTATTATATATATATAATAATAATAATATATATATATATTATTATTATTATATATATATAATAATAATAATATA